AAAAATATAAAAAAAAATATTCTAGCAGGTATATTTAGCTGCTGGACAGTTTAAGGGATAAATTCTTACCTCTAATTCTTATTTTTCTCAAATTGGTCAGGCAAGTAATAACAATATAAGTTCTTATATTTTGATTTAAAACTTTTAATTATTTCTGCATCTATCGGCTAAAGGTGAGTAGTCATATTGGGTAGAAGGAAATATACAGTGATATTTGTAAGACAAAAATTTTCTGAATTTTGTCTTGATTGGCTTGAACGGGTAGGTTGGATCTTTGAGATCCTTGTGGTCTTTCTCAGGACCTTCTTCAGGGCCTTTCTCAGGGTCTTCCTTGAGATCTTCCTTGTAGTTCTATCTGGGGTTCTTGTTGATCTTCAATTTCTTCTGTAGAATCTTTTTCTAATGATAATTTCTCAGTATCATCTTGAACTTCAGTTATATTATTTGTTCCTGGAGTTATTTGAGAAGCTGTATTGTCAATGAGAAGCAGGATCTTTTTACCTTGAATACAAAAACCTTTGTCAATAAATTTTAGCTATTTTTCCCAAATATCATTTCTTATCCATGCTTTTTCATTATTCTGATAAGTTACTGGTAGTTGTGATATGTTTATCTCATTAAAAGATCATGACTAATAGCTATAACTTGTCAGTGCTAGTTGAGTTAGAGCAAAGTAGCACTGTTACTCTTGTTTTATCCTAAAAAAAAAAAAAAAAAAATATATATATATACAATAAAACCTCTAAGTGCATTCCTCTCAGGCTTGGTTTCATTTATTTCACTAACAATCAGTTTACCTGCAGTACAATTCACCAATATTTCATTTGCTGACAAGTTTATTTCATTGACAATATGATTCACCAATAGTCATTTCACCAACAAATTAATTCTGGTTATTGTTGTTAGAGTCAGGCTAAAATTAAAGTTAAGGTTAGTGAAATTTATAAAAAAAACTTGTTAGTATACTATTGGCGAAATAAACTTGTTGATGAATTGAATATTGATAAATCGTACTGTTAGTAAATTGATTTTTAGTGAAATGAACTAAATCCCTTAGGCCTATAGTAAAAAAAAAGAACAAGTTGTATATATAAAGAGGATATGCATTTATAGAAGGCAAAATATATAGTGCTTTTATAAGTTGGGACCAAGCTCTACCATGTATTTAGAGAGAATTTATATAGAGCGTACACTTATAAAACATGCACTTAGAGAAGTCTTACTATATTATTTTTTATTTTTTTTTTTACTACCTTCTTTTTTCCAGTAACCTTTTTTTATTAGAAAAAGTTTGATTAGAGAGTAAATAGTAAAATAGACCTGTTTTATCAGTATTGTATATATTTTCGGGCTATAATAAGACAGAAGTTTTTGTAATTTAATTTGTTTAGCAGATAAGCTTGCTAGAGGTGTACTTGCTGTCTTACTATGCATTACAATTTTTTTAACTCATTACATTTCTTAAATCTAGTGATCCACCTGTTTGAAAATGCAAATGATTCTTCAGGTATACCAAGTGCTTGTACAAATTGGCAATCTTTTTCTTTTATTAATGTCTCTGATATAATTATTTCTTTTGCTATAACTTGCTCTATCCACATATTTATAGCGAGTTCCAACATAGGATACTTCACAGAATGATGATGAAAAATATTTTTAGCCTGTACGTCATCATCTTTAAGTTGTTGGTATTTATCTGTTTTTTTTAATATTTTTGATATGGTTATATGATCAATTCTCAAATTTGGATAGCACTTTATGAACTTATCCGCAATTTTTTGTTGTTTATAGAATGAATTTTGCTTTGCAAACTCGCATATTTCTTTTTTTGTCTGTCATTAATATGACAACATGTCTTTTTGGATATAGACTCAGGAGGCATATTACTGTACTAACAATGATTATAGCAGATTAGTAGTTTAATAGTATTTATCTTTTAAAAAAAATTGTAGAATACTATAAAAGATATGATAAATTCTTTGAACTTTCGACATGCCCTTTTATTATTATTATTATTTTTTTTTTTTTAAAAAAAAAAAAAAAAATTTAAAATAGTTGACAGCTTATAATAACACGCTTGTACCTTCAAAATATAGTATTAGCATATTATATTTGCTTGAACTTGAATCAAAAGGTTGAATTATTAGCACTTTTTTATATTCAATCAACTTTATACATACATATGTACATATTAGGTGCAAACATATTATCATTGCTATCCACAACCCAAATTGACAAATTTTTTATTATTATATTACGTATCACTACTAACTTAATTTTGTTCATAGACAAGGCAGGCAGGCTTTTGTGATTCAGAACCATATCTGAAAACTCGGGTCAAGATCCAGAGTTCAATATTTTAGCATACTTTACCAATACCTGCTACTATTGTCATTTTTCCTAATTAGTTTATGCAAATTTAATTATAATACTTGCATTACTACATGACGTATTTTAAGTATTAACTTTTTAGAACTCAATTATATTTTTCTTATCATTTCATATTAAATAAGGATAGATTAGCTCTGGTAAAGCTAAATAAGGGTAAGTTTTTTTGACTAGTTCCATAGCTCTATTCTTGAAACCAGCCTAAATGATATCATAATGGTCAAAGTGGGTAGCTAAATTTTAAAAAAAGTATGTTACATAATTAATTTTATTGATCATAATTTAAGTCATTTGCTAACCAATAAATAGTAAATTTAAAGCGCTAAGGACTGTTTTTAAACTGGGATCAAAAAGTATTAATAGACAAGTCATATCAAAATGAATCAACTAGAGTAGTCATAAAAAATACAGGTCATGTGGGTAGAGCCTTCTGCTATAATTGCAGCAGATGAATCAGTGCTGGATCTATAGTAGATCTATAGTACTATCGCTGTATACAAAAGCTTTGCCTCTGTATCGCATTTGTATATTATACTAGTGATGCCACCTACATAATCTATATTTTTATGGCTGCTCTGGTCGATTCTATAGAAATAGATTAGAAAAATTACCGTTCGAGAAAAATGTAATTATTCTGCCTAGGGACTTCTGATTAAAGGTTAAATTAGTAAAAAGAAGAGAAAAGAACACACATAATCTGTAATAAAAAATGCATAGAGAACAAAAGTATTTATATAGGTCGAATGTTTTTGTTACAGGGCGTATAAATCTGATTAGTATCGATTTCAGAAATTTTTCATTGTTTAAACAATGAAAAATCTCTAAAATCGCATAAGTCTGGGCATTCTAAATCTGTTATGAATGTATAGACGTATATATGTATATACAATAATACTATTTAATTTGACATTTGCTTTATTGTTGAATTTAACCAATAATGTATTGTTGAAATAAATCTAGATTTCGATTTAACAATCTGAATTTAAATTCAAAGTTGAAGAGCACTAATTAAATAAAAAATAAATTCGGTTTTCAAACTCTAATTCTAAATTCTATTTAAATATTAATTTAAAAACTAAATCTTTACTAGTATGTAAAATAGTATAGCTAAATTTTAAGTACAAAAATATTATTTTTGACTTGCTAACCTTTCAAATCATTTCATTCATATTAATTATTTTATTCAGCTCTGGATATAAAGATCATTTATTAGTTATCTTAATTAAAATAAGCAAACTGGTTTATAAATCAAGAACATATATGCTTATTTACTATTCTATAATATCCTTCGAATTATTTCATCTCCATTCAACTCTAACCGGTTCACAAATCATTAAATATTTATTTGCCATTTCCGTTGTACCCTTCAAATGATATAAGGACCTTTGTTTTAAGATCAATAAATATGCATAAAAGATTTTAATGTTTGATCTTCAATATTAAAATCTTATTGTTTATTGTTAAGTTCTTTTAGAGATTTAGTTCCATCTTGATATTGGAAATCCGTTCCTTTTACAAATGCATTTAGAAGTAACTAGAAAATAGTTATACAGCCTATAAATATAAAAATCATTTATTGCAAGAATCAAATTGGCAAATTATGTTTAAAATCACAAATACTTACCCTTCATGAATCTTTCTTGTACTTTAGTATACCCTTTACCCAACTCTGGTTTCATGTCATTTTAAACAGCATAAATAAATATATAATTCTTTGTCTTCCTATATTGCTCAACCTATGCTATTGTGTTGTGTCATTTTTCAAAACTAGTCAAAAAATTAATAATAGCATAACGGTAAACGAAAAATTATTGTACTGTATAAATGGGGAATTGATTTGATTAACCAATTAAATGAATACCCCTAACAAGTAAAAATGGCAGGATATTCTGGCATGGGTGGGAGGATGCAGTAATACAACATGAAATACAGTGCCCCAACCTGATACATTAAACGTCAGGCAGAATAAAATCATGTTTTAAAAATATTATTTTGCAAAATAACTTTAGATTTAATAATGTTCTCTTTACGCTCATTATATTTTCTTCAATTAAAAAACAAGTGTTCATTTGATTACTGTTGCAGAAACGTATAAAATTTTTGTACTATTTTCTCTTATAATTGGTTGTGTAAAGACTGTCATATTGGGGTTTTTTTGCAATATTCAAAATTTTCGATCGATAATCGGATAATTATTCAACAATTCCACCCTCTACAAAATGGGTGTACTAATTTTTCTTCCTAGTTCCTATTGGACAAAGAAAAATCTGATCGGGGTAAAATCACTACCCAAAAAAGTTTCGAAAATTATATGATATTGTCAATTCATCATCATGATAAGTAATAATATTTAGTAAGTTGGTTGTTTAATTTCTTTGATTCTTCAAAATGAAAAGTGATTGTCACAATCTCAAAAAACTTAGTGATATTTTTAAAGGCATAAAATTCAATAAACACAATATTCTAAAAATATACATCGATTGCCGTAACCCAATTTCCACTAATAATAATGAAAAAAAAAAATGTAAATTGAAATAAAACTAAACAAGAAAATGTAATTGCACAAGAAAATCTTGTAGACTTTATTTTTAATGCTTTTCTGGAAGACTATAACCTAATTATTTATTTGAGCAAAAAGTTTTTATAATTCTGAATCCAAAAAAATTATTAAAGAAAATATAATGAATCAAATAGTAACAAATAGCTCGATAGTATTAATAAAAAACTTTGAGTCATTGCATAAATTGGAGGAAGACTATAATCATTTTAAAAGACAATGAAATATTTCAAATACTTAGAAAACCAGTAATCATAATACTTTCTGGCTATAATAATACACTGGCGATCATAAGTAATATAACAAAAAAAAATTTTTACTTAGATCGCATTATTTTTTACAATTCTGGGTGTATCCTTTTATTTATTTTTTTATTTTACTTATGTTAAAATTTTAATATTCATTATTATTGCCAATGTAAAGATAATTGAGCATATAGCACAAATCATGTGTTGCATTACTTTTGATCATTTTTTACAACGATCAGATAAGCATTTACTAATTTCTCTCCACAATTCTAATTGGATATTAGAAATCTTGTTACTGATTGGCCAAAATCTATCACGAGATTACTATACTATGCCAATCTTGCCACTCTTGCCGATTTATATTTTTAACCGTACGTATGCGTTACAAGTTCGTTATAGATCAATTAAAGCTAATAGTTCATGCCCCTGTAGAAGGTTTAATTATTATTAGCTAAGTATTGCTTTAACGATTTATTATCAACTTTACTATTTCTTTATTTTTTGTCGTGGCTAAAGCTGGAAATGGCTAAAGCTAAAAATTTTAAATATTTTAATATGAAATTTACAAAAAATTTTGGAATGCATTTTGTACGATTTTTTTTTATAGTTAGA